TTGCCATTTCTGTTCCCAATTCTGAAAAATCTCTTACCCCTCCTAGACTGCAGGTTGAGACTTAATTTTTGAAAGTGCTTTGAGATATAATTTACATACCATACAATTCACCAACTTAATGATTCAATGATGGTTCTTAGGCAAAAGTTGTGCAACCATCATGACAATTAATTTTAGAACATTTCCATTACCCTAAGAAAGATATCCTGGACCCATTAGTCGCCACTCCCTATTTATCCCCCAACTTCTCTAGCTGTAGGCAAGCTCTACCTATAGTTACCTATTCTGGACATTATATTTCATTTTTAGTTTAAAGTGTCCTTGGGGATTAGGAGTCCTTACCTTTGGAATTCCTAATCTCTACATGGTATGACTCTTGCAATAATCAGGGACCTGTAACAGAAATAGGAGGGAAAGAGAAATGATATTTAACAACCACTATATGCATACCGATATAGATTCATTATTTTCACAACCATCCTATGAGCCAGGTACCATTTAACAGCTGAAGAAACCAAGGATTATAGAAAGTAAGTAACTTGCCAAAGGTTACAAAGTTAGTAACAAAGCAAGGATGTAAAGCTTGCTTTTCTGACTAGAGCTCACACTGTCTTTGTTCCACTAAATCAGTAGTTCTCAAACTTTGGTGGGCACTAGAGTCAAGTGGAGGGTTTATGAAAGACAAATTGCTTGGCCCCTCCCACAGACTTTCAGGTTTATTACCTCTGGGGTGGGGCCCATGGACTTGCCTTCAGAGGCTGCTGAAGCTGCTCTTTCTGGGACTGTGCTATATCCTGCTGCTTAACAGTATCTGAGAACAGGATTGATTAAGATCACAGAGCCAGATGCTGAAGTAGCTTTCATATCATCTGGTCATCTTTTCAGAACAGTACTTATGACCTGTCAAAGCAATTGCTGATTGATAAAAGGCAGGAGGTAGTTGGAAAGGCAAAACAGGGAGCTAACATGCTGCAGAAGACATACTGAAGTGTGAGAACATTTTTTTCTGGTTGGGAAATGTGATAAGCAATTAGAGAGTTAGCTATGGTGCATGAAGCACCTAGAGGTAGCATTTGTCAGCTGGATGCAAAATGTAAGGTTGCTTGTCTAGTTCAGAACTATAGCTGCTTTAAGGAGAAAAGGCAGGCAGATAGAGGACTGTCAACAGCAAGGTCTTTTCTCCTTCTTTGGCTACAGCTATAGTTGCACACTCATGCTGACTTCATTCCCAAATGTTAACTAGGCCAGAGCTTGATCAGACTGAAATCTGAATTTATATTAAAAACATTCTCACAGATAGTGAGAAAATGTGTTCCCTTGAATCTGTTCTAGCTCTGGATTTTATTGAAAATGTTTGATTTTTTTTTTTCTTAGTGGGAGGGGAAAGAGGGCATCTGGAAATCACTTAATCCAGAATCTGCAGTGTAATTGCTAGAGGAGGCTCAAACATGATTTGAACATCCCTAGCTGTGGGATTTGGTGACCAGGCTCCCAAGAGAGGATGACACAGCACAGGGAATAGCACAGACAGCCTGCCTTGCTTTTTAAAGAGCAAAGATGCAAAAGTCCTTGCTCAGGTCACCAGTGCTGAGAATACTCTTAATAATTTAAATGGACAAGGGGAACTTCCTTATGTGTAGGTGAGCCTGCCCTAGAGACAGAATAGAGAAAAAACAGCAAAGTGAAAACAGGGAGTGCAGAGTGCAGCTGGATTAGGCCTTAATATAGATAGCTTTTGTTTTTTTTCAGAGCACTTTTTTTTTAAGGTATTTATGTATTTATTTTTGGCTGTGTTGGGTCTTCGTTGTTGCGCGCGGGCTTTCTCTAGTGGTGAGCAGGGGCTACTCTTCGTTGTGGCATGCAGTGGCTTCTCTTGTTGCAGAGCACGGGCTCTAGGCACGCGGGCTTAAAGTGGTTGTGGCACGCGGGCTCAGTAGTTGTGGTTTGCAGGCTCTAGAGCTCAGGCTCTGTAGCTGTGGCGCACAGGCTTAGCTGCTCCGCGGCATGTGGGATCTTCCCGGACCAGGGATGGAACCTGTGTCCCCTGCATTGGCAGGCAGATTCTTAACCACTGTGCCACCAGGAAAGTCCCCAGAGCACTTTTATGTATATTAACTCATGTCAAATATTATTATTATTAAACAGGGTGCAGATAAGTGTAATGAGTTAGCTCAGTTAATGAGTTAGTTTAACTAGTTAATAGATGCACGTACTAGGATTAGAGGTAGACAGTTACTTGGAATGCCAGGAAAACAAAACATTCAGAAATAATAGTAACCACATAAATGCAATCTAGGGAAAACCACATTTCCTTCCAAAGTGGTGGAAGTGAAGTTTACTTGTTGGTATTTTCTTACCTCTTTCATATTTGTTCATTCATTCATCCATCCATTCATTCAACAAACATGTATTGAGCGCTTCCTATTTCCAATTATTTTGCTCTGTGGGCCTTGGGAATGTAGAAATGAGATATGGTGTCCATTCATTCAACAAATATTTATGAAGGTCCTACTGTGTCTCAGAAATTGTTTTAGGTGCTAGGGATATAGTAGTTAAAAACAGACAAACAGGGGCTTCCCTGGTGGCACAGTGGTTAAGAATCCACCTGCCAATGCAGGGGACATGGGTTCGAGCCCTGGTTGGGGAAGATCCCACATGCCGCAGAGCAACTAAGCCCGTGCACCACAACTACAGAGCCTGCGCTCTAGAGCCCGCGAATCACAACTACTGAAGCCCTCGTGCCTAGAGCCCGTGCTCTGCAGCAGAAGACACCACAGTGAGAAGCCCGCGCACCGAAGCGAAGAGTGGGCCCCGCTCAGCAACAAAGACCCGACACAGCCAAAAATAAATAAATTAATTAAATAAGTTAAAAAAAGAAAAGATTAAAAAAAAAAACTAGACAGACAAAGCAAGAAATGTATAAACCAGTTTGGAGTAACAAAGGGAAACAAGCTATAACAAAAATAATAAAAATGTGATAGAGGATAGGTAGACAACTAGTGTGATGAAACAAGTATAGTACAGTGTTAACAGCAGAATCTAGGTGGTGCCTATATCAGTGTTTACTGTAAAATCTTTCAACTGTATGTCTGAAAATTCTTATGATAAAATATTGTAGAAGAAAGTTATAGGAATGATAAAAAAAAGGCAGAGATTTGGGGAAAGTTCATGGAGGACATGGCAGTGTTTTATCCTCTTCTTCCTCTCAGCTACCTAATATCCCCTTAGCTATGAGTCCATCAACTTCCAAATTCCAATAGGCCTTGTCTTGGGCTGTGAAGAGCTCTGCAAAAGTCCTTGAAGATCTTATCTTTTTAGTGGAGAAAAACTTGGAGGAGGAGAAGCAGACACATGAATCAGCTAAAACTCACCCACCCCACAGGCATTTGATAAGGCACCCTTCTAGCTAACCTCCCCCAAATGCCTGCCTCTGGGTACCAGGTAGCTGCGTTCCCCAGCTTAGTTTCCTGTCTGAGCTTCTGTGGAGTTTGGTTTTGGATGGTTACCTGAAATATATAAAAAGTGAAGCGAACATTTGTTTTTTCTAATACTCAATTTTCTTTAGTAATTTTTTTTCAAAATAATTCTGAATTTTAGGTAACACTAAGTTTTGAAAGAGAATGCTATAGACTTAACTTCTCCTTTAGACTGTAGGACCCCCATCAGCTCATTTATACCAGTCCCAGGTTCACAGGGGCAGCGGCTGTGACTAGTCTAGTCCTCCCTCTCTCCCCTGTGCCCAAACGAAGCTTCCCTTTCCAGTTTCAGCCCTTTAGGGGCTTTTCCTCATAGATCATTTATATAGGGTCTTGTACCTGTGCAGGGTACCACGTTAAGTACTTTAAATACAATAGTTCATTTAATATAATAATCTTAGCATGTAACTGCCATTATTATTCCCATTTAACAGATGAGAACATTGAGCAAGGGAGATTAAGTAACTTGCTCAGGGAACTGCAAGTCAATGCAGAAATCTGGCTCCAGAGGTGGCGCTGTTCTGAGTCATCAGCAGCTACTGCCTTTGTAACCAAGTGCCTAATTCCCCATCTCTGAGAAACCAGTTCACTTAAAGGTATTAATAAGTCAACGTGACATTAAGCATCATTTATCGTTTCCACAGCTCTAACTCCACAGGAACCTCAGTGTTTGGGATTTCAAACTACGGTTAGAAAGGGCGTTGATGTTAGGAGGGAGGGCTTCCCTCAGATGAGCTCCTCAAATTACCTTTCTCTAGGAAGGACTCCAGAGAGTCGCCGTTTAAGGAGGATGGTGTTTGGGGGTTTCCAAGAGAGGAAATATTTAAAGCCAGAGGCTGACATATTATTTTGGCAAACGGGATGGGAAAAAGAAATCTCATTTTCGCAACACAAGTTTTTAGTCTGGATAATGGGTAAATGACATTAACTCTTTGTTTCATCTTAACCTTCCAAGCTTGTTCTAATTTTGCTTCTCAAACCTGAGGCATCTCCTCCATTATTTGATCTGTCCTTTTAGCTTTTTATCCCTTTTGAAATAGGTGGGAGCATACCCAATTAAAACGCAGAAGGCTCCTTTCTTTTCCCTTGGTCCCGCCGCAGGTCGTCGTCGCGGAAAGGGTTAACCAGGCGGGTTGGGAGAAGGGTCGGGCTCATACCTTTCCCAGAGACCCCAGGCGGCGGCGGCGGGGCCCGGGAGGGGCGGAGGCTGGGGCAGACGCCTCGCCGCCGCTGCCTCGGCGAATAGCAGTGCGCTGTCCGCCCGGATTGGAGCAGCAGCATCACGCTGACCTCTGCCTGGGATGTAAACCGGGGCGGCCACAGCGGGCAGAGGAAGGCTCTCGGCTCCTTCGGGAAAGCCAGCTCCAGCACCGGGATCCGAGCGGTGCGCAGGGAGCCGCGTCAGCCTCGACCTGGGCAGCGCCCAGCGGAGGCTGCGGGAAGCGGAGGGAGCCCGGCGCGGGCGGGGAGCGTGCGTCCGTTCGCACAGGCAGCGGGAGGAGGGGCGGCGCGAGCCATGGCTGGGGACAGCGAGCAGACCCTGCAGAACCACCAGCAGCCCAACGGCGGCGAGCCCTTCCTGATCGGCGTTAGCGGGGGCACGGCCAGCGGCAAGGTACGGCGGGGCCCCGGGGCCGCTCTCTCTTCTCCTCCCCACCTCTCCCCACCCCGGCCGGGGCCCGGCGGCGCCGCATGTGGCCGGCGGCCGCGGGCCATGTCAGTTCCTGCAGCCACCGCGTGGCCCGCGCGCCTCCGCTGCTGGCCGCGCTCCAGTGCAGAGTCTTCCCCGCGCAGACTCCGGGCGCCGTGGCAGCGGATGGGCGGCCGGGGACTCGGGCCATCTGAGGTTCCAGGGGTACTCCGGCCACCGATCACAGGGCTGGCACGCTCCCGGCGGCGGTAATTTGTGGCTGGGGTCCTATGGGGGAGGGGCAGAGAAAGCGGATGCTTATTGTTTTGCAAGTCCGTCGTGGGGGAGAGGGCTTTAAGCGGGGTCCTCTACGAATCCCCGGTACACCCGTCTTCCCTCGGCCTGGCGTTGATGTGCTCGCCCGGCGACGCAACCCCGGTGCCGGGTCGGAGCGAGCCGGGTAGCCCGACCGGGAGGGCTGCGAGAACGTGACGCGGCGTCCCGGGGAAGGGGAGCCGCACTTGGGCTGGACGCCGGTGCCGGGCACTGCAGAGGTTTTCGGGTAAAATCCCGAGAGCCAAATAGGCGAGGTGACATCAGTGAAATGATCACAGTCGGGGCTTCTCTTTTTGGGGGGTTTTAAGAGGAAACGCGGTCGGCTTCAATAAGAAAGTTGTGCTGGCCCCATGCTCTTAGATGTCTGGGGCCGTACGCGTCTTGCATCCGCAGAAGGAGGTCGTTCTCTGGCTGTCTGACTCCTCTAGGAGCCTGCTTTCTTTGTTTTTTCAGCAAGGCAAGGAGAGACTAGGGATATGCTTTCCTAGCTTTGCCCGCGGCTTTTTCTGCAGGTGGAGAAGGGTAGAGTCCTCTCAGATAGTTTTCTTTGCTCCCCTGCCTTTAAGATGTGGCTACTTGTTTACCCTACTGTTACCCTACTGTTTAACAAGTTCATTTGGTGCCCAGGCTCCTCAAGGGGAGCCTGCGAGAAATAGGTGCTGCGCGCTGGGTTTGGCGAGGTGGGATGATGCCTCCTAGGGTCAGGGAGAGCGGAGCAGGAAGGCTGGTTGGCGCCATGAGAAGCGAGCCACGAGGTTTTTGCTCCGGAGCAGACTCTGCCGTAGCCCCTCCTCCATTTTGGTTTTACATTTTTCCCTCCAGGTCTGGACTACTTTGGCGCCCGGGGCCCAGGCACGGCAGCTGGCGCTATGGAACTTCTTTATTGATTAGTTAATCTCGACTGTAGCCCCCAGGGCTTGGGATCTGCCTGCTTTATGTCGCAGAAGTTTATGTTGAATTTGCCCCTGGTTGAATGCCTTTTTTAATTTTTAAAAATTTTACATGTTTTTTATTGGTACTATTACTAGTAAGTCAAAGCCAAACCAGGGTGCCAGCTCTTTTAGGAAATGTACCTGTTATATTAGAATTTTCTCAGTCCCCCTCCGCCCCCCCCCCCCCCGCCCTTTCCATAGTATATTCGTGTTATGTGGGACCTTTTTTGTTGTTGATGGCCGTATTCCCAGTGCTCCTAGCACGATGCCTGGCACATAGTTGGATCCAAATATTAACCTGAGATCCAGCCCTCCTAGGGGGAAAGGAGACCGAAACTGGCAGATGAGTGTAGCATTTAGAAACAAAATGAACTTGGTAATCATCTAAATAATTTAGTCACTACAGAGGCGGAAACTAAGATCCTAAAAGGTGAACTAACTCGCTTCTTATTATTGTGCGTTCCTCAATCATCACCTTTTCTCAGTGGATAATCAGTATAAATGTGTATTTCTGTAACGTGTCAAGTAGGAGCTAGGAATGAGCCATTAAGGGAACTCTTAACTCTGCTGTCCCTATTTCTCATCAAGGAGGAAAATACTTCTAAGAAAGCGTCTATTTTCATGCAGTTTTTAAAGCATGTTGTATCTTTTGGGCATTAACAAATACTTTGTCATTGTAAGATTTTATAATTTTTTTGTTATTAAGAAAAAGTCCAAAGGAGCATTGGACTTCAAAAATTCTTTACTGCAGTCAGTTTGCTGCAATTATGTCTTGATTCTTTAGTCCAGTCTTTAGTGCCTTTTCTCCAAGGAATTTGAAGTTTTTGTTTTTTTGTTTTTTTTTTAAAGGATGGTCAGCATTAACAAACTGGACCTCCTTTGGAAGCCTCAAGTCTGAACATTGTGGTACAGGAGGGCCTGGAAGCAAAGTCGATACTCTACCCCCTGCATATTTGCTCTGTGCCTGTTAAAGGAATTTGGGAGAAGGCAAAGGGCCCAAGGACATCAACAAAAAAGGACAGTTATAGAGCTAGAAGGAACCTCGGAGGCCCTGGAGTCCAACACTTCATCTCATCACTTACGGATGAGAAAAATAATGAATTCAGATCATATATTTGTCCCAGCTATTGGCCTTGTTTAAGAAGAATTGACTAAGGCATGCCCGGAGAACACAAGTTTACACTTTCAACCTGGAAAGGGGCTACTTGGAAATGGCTACAGAATGGTTTCAGAGGTACTTGACCCAAAAGGAAATGGAAATGCAGATTGCTTTGTACTCAGTGGCCTGGCAATATAGATCTTGATTGCTTTCTCCCCTCCTTTATAAGAGAAAACAACTCCCTGTTCAGCTTCTCTTGAGAGCTCTAATTTGTCTCAATGTTGTTGTTGCCCTGAGTTAACAAGTATTTTATCTTAGCCTAAATTAGTTTGGTTGTAGAAGGCAAAAATAGCGATTGTGGTCATATATTACATTTTTGTTTGTTTGTTTTGGCCATGCCACACAGCATGTGGGATCTTAGTTCCCCCACCAGGGATCGAACGCGCACCCCCTGCATTGGAAGCGTAGGGTCTTAACCACTGGACCGCCAGGGAAGTCCCATACATCACATTAAAGTTTGTTTTATACATGAAGATTAATTAGGACTCTAGAGTAAGCTTTGCTAGGCTGACATGGCAAATCATTCTTAAAAACTCACCTTAAAATTGTGGTGGGGGCTTCCCTGGTGGCGCAGTGGTTGAGAGTCCGCCTGCAGATGCAGGGGACACGGGTTCGTGCCCCGGTCCGGGAGGATCCCACATGCTGCAGAGCGGCTGGGCCCGTGAGCCATGGCCGCTGAGCCTGCACGTCCAGAGCCTGTGCTCCGCAACGGGAGAGGCCACAACAGTGAGAGGCCCGCGTACCGCAAAAAAAAAAAAAAAAAAAAAATCACATTCTCGTATTTCCTCCTAAAGGACAAGTCTAAGAGAGCAAGAAGTAACACTGGATGGGGAAAAAAAACAGTTTAAACTTCTTTACCTGAATATATATCCATGACTTTAGGTGCCATTCCCTCTCCTCTTTATTTTTGCTGTTTACTGCGCTGTGACTTCTTCGCCAATTAAAATAGCTTCTCAGTCTGCACTGCCATCAGAGCGGTCTTCCTTAGTGTAGCTCTGACTGTGCCACTCTCCTTTTTGGAAACCTTGGATGCCTCTTCACTGACCAGGCTATAGGTCAGATATTTCAGCACAGTGCACATCCCCCTGGCCCCCAAATGTGGTCCCAGACTATTTATTTATTTATTAAAAAATTTTTTTAAAATTTATTTATTTATTTATTTATCTATGGCTGTGTTGGGTCTTCCTTGCTGTGCGGGCAGGCTTTCTCTAGTTGCAGTGAGCGGGGGCTACTCTTTGTTGCAGTGTGTCGGCTTCTCATCGCGGTGGCTTCTCTTGTTGTGGAGCACAGGCTGTAGGCGCGCAGGCTTCAGTAGTTGTGGCTTGCGGGCTGATAGAGCACAGGCTCAGTAGTTGTGACGCATGGGTTTAGTTGCTCCTCGGCATGTGGGATCTTCCCGGACCAGGGCTCAAATTCTGTGTCCCCTGCATTGGCAGGCAGATTTCTAACCACTGTGCCACCAGGGAAGTCCCACCAGACTATTTTTCCACTCTTGTCCCGCTTCCCCACACCCAAATGCACACACACACATCTGTGGAACTTCTTTCATTTATACTTTTGCTCCTGGTCTTCTCTCTGGAATGGCCTCTAATCCTTTCAAGGTTTCAGTTTTGTTAATACTTCCCCCAGGGAACTTTGTTATCCATTTTCTTAATCAGAATTATTTTTTGTCTCTAATGCTTCCATAGTTTCACCACATTTTGCCTAGTGCTGGGGTTATTTGTTGACTGCTTCCCCCGCTATAGTAAAAGTTCTATAAGAGCGTCTCATTTATTTCTGCCTTAATGACCATTACAGTGTTTGATACAGTGTTTGTTGAACTGAGTTAGGCAGACCATCATTTGTAATTATCCTTTTATTCTTTTAATTCATAAGACTATTTGAATTAGGCTTTGAAGCCACAGTTGAAACCATGTTTAACTGTGCTATTCGTGTTGCAGTGACTAGACAGTAAAAAACCCCGCTGAACCCTAATACTGTACATTGGTATTGCTTATTCAGAGCCTAGCATTTAATTAGTATGTACTAAATGAACATTTGTTGAATGTCATTGTGAAGAATACTGTATTATGAGGAAGTCAGGTCGTAAGGAAATATGAGAGAAAGTCTGTCAGTATTTTATAGTTGCAAGCTGCTTAAACAGCTCATCAAGCCAATTTATCATTAAAGCATTTCCTTATCTCTTCCTTTTGAAGTGGGGCAGGTGTCTTCCCCACTGATGGATAACACTGGAAGGTGTTAGGAGAATTTTTGACTTGCCTGAGGTCATGTAGCTAGTAAGTGATAGAACTTGGATTGGAATCCAGGTTTTTCCTTTACTAAAGCTATGCCTGTTTTGAACTTTCTCCACAAGCAGGGACCAGCCCTCGGACGTATTTTGAGGGAGGTCAGTAGGACAGTGTATGAATAATACAGACCAAGAGAGGACATTGCAGTCCCCTCAGAGGTGGGGGCTGTCACCTCAGCTCTGCCTGACCATGAGTCAGCATCTGCTTTTGGAGCGCTCTGGAATGCTCCCTGGACCTCCGGCTCCGACTCCCATTGCTGGGTTCCTGGAACCTCGGCAGCCATCCCCATCCGGCCAGATCACTCATTCCGCACCCTCCCTCCATCAGGTGCTCCCAGAACCATGGGACTGCTTTGGTTCTTTTGCTGTTTTTCTCGGAGCTGGCATTGTCTGCTTTGTACCGCCTCAAGCTGCTGCCTGGGAGGTCTGACGGGATCTGGCCCTGCTGACCTCCTGCCACTCTCCCCTTTGCTCTCGATTCCAGCCACATCCCCAGCTTGGCCCATCATGTTTCCCCCTGCCCAGGGCTCTTCACACTTGCTGTTTGCTCTGCCTGAAATTCCCCTCTTGTTCATTGTGCCAGTGCCTAGCACATGCCTGCCAGAATGAAGCCCAAGCAGCAGGTCTTGCTGCTGCTGCCTTTCCTCAGCTGCTGCCTCATTTCTTGTTGGAAAGTCTTTGAAGTGTGTTTCTGATGCACACTGTCTGTGGTCACCTAACTCCAGCTCACTGTACCTGTAGCATTTGCTTAGGTCTTCTGCCTGATATTATTTCTTTCTTATTTTTTTTAAACATTCCCACCAACAGTGTAGGAGGGTTCCCTTTTCTCCAGCATTTGTTGTTTGTAGACTTTTTGATGATGGCCATTCGGACCAATGTGAGGTGTGATACCTCATTGTAGTTTTGATGTACATTTCTCTAATAATTAGTGATACTGAGCATCTTTTCATGTGCCTGTTGGCTATCTGTATGTCTTCTTTGGAGAAATGTCTATTTAGGTTTTCTGCCCATTTTTTGATTTTTTTTTTTTATATTGAGCTGTATGAGCTGTTTATATAATTTTAGAAATTAATCCCTTGTCAGTTGCATCATTTGCAAATATTTTCTCCCATTCTGTAAGTTGTCTTTTCTTTTTTCTTTTTTTTAAAATTATCTTTTGAGTTATGTTGCTTTATATTTATTTATTTATTTTAAGATTTCATTTTATTTATTTTTGGCTGCGTTGGGTCTTCATTGCTGCGCGCGGGCTTTCTCTAGGTGTGGTGAGCAGGGGCTACTCTTGGTTGCGGTGAGCAGGCTTCTCATTGCAGTGGCTTCTCTTGTTGCGGAGCACGGGCTCTAGGCATGCGGGCTTCAGTAGTTGTGGCTCGCGGGCTTTAGGGTGCAGGCTCAGCAGTTGTGACACATGGGCTTAGTTGCTCCACGGCATGTGGGATCTTCCTGGACCAGGGCTCGAACCTGTGTCCCCTGCATTGGCAGGGGGATTCTTATCCACTGCACCACCAGGGAAGTCCTGTAGGTTGTCTTTTCATTGATATTATTTCTTTGTTGAGTCTTGCTCTCATGAGGTCCTGTGATGGAGACAGGTTGTGTTTGGGAATTTCATGGCTGAAGACCTGGCCTTTTTTGCTAGTGGGATCTGAGATGGTGCTGTTGGAATTGCTTAAGATCTCTAAGGTCTTTTAGACGTGTGTCTCAATTTTTTAAATCAATAAAAACATTTGAATGTATATTCTGTGTGTGTGTGTGTGTTTATGTGCTTTCTTGTCCATTAAACTTTTTATCATTAAACCAATTTATCATTAAAGCATTTGATCATCTTGTTATTGTAATGTGTCATGTATCTGAATATGCAAATTATGTAAGTATAATCAATGTAATTAAAAACAAAAATAGGGATAATGAAAAGATAAGAAAAATGAGATAAACTTAAAATTGTGGTTTCTTTAGCAGTATAAAGACTTTTGGTTCTTACTGAATGTTTTATTTTTAAAAATCTTATTTCAAATGTGGTGATTCATGAATCTTGGATGATCTTGGTGATATTACTCTTAGTGATAATATAAGGCTGAAAGTTTGGTTCTAAGTTAAGTATCATGAATCTTGATTTCATGACTGTATTTTAAAAAGTTATTCCCCAAAATGATCCAAGTACAGGAAACCCATCCTTTGCAGTATTTATAAAATCATGAGAGTCCCATCCCCCAATTATGCAGCTAGAAAATTTTCATCGTCCTTGTTGTCCATCAGCTGTTTTTGCAAACCAAGATGCTCCATTTAATGTTTTCTTTCTTTTTTTTATACAGCAGGTTCTTATTAGTTATCCATTTTATACATATTAGTGTATATATGTCAATCCCAGTCTCCCAGTTCATCCCACCACCACCATCCCATGTGATCACACATTTCATTTTGGTGGAGCATTCATTTTCACAATAATAGTGACAGAAGATTCTACCACTTGCTTTTTGTATGACTTGTGGCACATTACTGTAGAGCTTTGGTAAGGTAAGAATTTTGCCTGGTACATACATGGTAGAAGCATAAGAATTTTGTGTGTGTGTTGTTGAAGTTGAGTTGTGCTTCTTTATTGCTTTAATGAGGCTGGAAGTATGCTGTCTGGTCTGATATCCATACCTCCCTTCCCCTCAGCTGAAGAGCTGTTTTGTCATATCTCAGCAAACATCCTCTGTTTGTTTGCCTGTCCTGTAGGCAGTCCGGAGTTCTGCAGTTGTCTGTAGGATTGCCTCCTCCCGCATGGTGGAGGGTGAGCTCTGTCTCTGTGCAG